AGAAAATGAAGAAAGGAGTATCTGCAGCCCAATTTGAGCAGATCCAGCAATGCAGAACTCGCCCCCAGCTAAGCAACAGCCAGATTTGCAACTGTGCTTTTAGATCAACAACTCATTTATTCCCAGCTAGACCACTGTGCCAGCTCCCATGTAATCCCAGCAACTCTGATACGCAACATTAGCTATCTAAATGATAACAAGCAACAAAGTATTCTAAAACAAAAGGGCAAATGAGAAGAAATCAATGAAAAAATATTGCCATACACAACAGCTGACACAAACCACTAGCCTATGTTGCTATGGCTTTGCATGCTGTATAGTGCCACAGCACTCTTGTAATAGAGAATGGAAAGAGTCTCCATGATGCAACACAGTGACATAATAAAGGGACTTACATCAAGATGATGGGCACTTCTCGCCTGTCAGAAGTGCTACCACAGCTTAAATAGACATATCTTAACAAGCTTTGCAGCTGCCTGCTAGCAGCGTGGGGTCATTCAGGGGCTGTGAAACCTGTCTGAGAGTGAATAAATACTTAAATAACTAGTCTTGGCACGCTGCACTGGATAATTACATTTGACAATCTTTTCCATGCCTTCAGCCTTGCAGGGATATGTAGGTCTTATCCTAACCTACAGGATATTTCAAAGCAGTGGTCCACAGTCCATACACGGGGCAGCACATTACACTTCAGACATTGCCCTATTACTCACAGTCACAAGCCATCACCACTACAACAGCAGACATCAAGAAAACAGCACATATCAGCTTATTTTATTGCTCTGTAATTTTGCCTGAAAGCTAGCAAAGGGTTGGGCATCAAAATTTTAGGTTCACAGTCCTAATGCCAAAAAGATAAATTTAAGTTTTAAATCAGGATTACAGATACTTAAAGTTTCAATAAACTCATAAAAGAATGCTGACACAAGAGTGGTAGGTGGCTTGCAAACAAAGCAGAGCTGAGGGAGACTGAGATTTCCTATTCTGGACATAATTACTGACTTTTGAAAGGCCACAGTCTGACTTCAACAGCCATTTAAGAAGTATCAAGAGCAGAAGATGCTAAGAACGTTCCTTAACAAAGCACAAGGAGTATCAGGCTGTCCCTTAGTCTCAAGTGAAAAACCTAGCATGGTTTATTAGCTGCCATATTAGCTAAGCATTGTATAAGGGATAATCAAAATCAATTACTTCATTTGCAAAACTGCTGCAAATACGTTATAGAAGAGCTCTAGAATCATAAAAGGAAAAAAAAAAAAAAAAAGGGTAAAAATCTAAAAATGTGAAAAGACCAAAAAAGAACAAAAGTGATTTTGCTGAGAAGAGAGGTTTGCAGATTACCTGAATAACTGCATCTCAGACAAAAAACAACACATTTGAGAAAACTCAAATATTCTGTAATGTATTTGATTTCACTGGCATGGAAAAGGCCAAAAAATAAAAATAAAAACAAATCAAGACCAAAGCCACCTTTCTTATACATAAACATAAAATTCAGTGCTAAAGAAACTGAAGATCTCACTAACATTCATACCTCACAGTTCTTTTACCCCATCTCTACCATCAGCTGCAACATTTTATGGGATAATTAAGTACTTCCTAGGAACTGACAGAAAGATCTTTCTTAATCCTCAACTTTCAAAGCCAAAAAAGCAGAAATTACAAATTTTGAAAATATGAATACTAAAAGCCATGTGCCACTAAATGTATTTATTGCCTTATGAATGCATGTGATTTATAAAATTCAGGAAAAATAGCAGTACAAGTCCTTAGACTTGGGCATCATTAGGGTGCGCTCATCAGCCACAGTGAAGGCCCTCTTTAACTCAGTTCTCACATTATGTGCTATGTAGAGGATTCCCAGGAAATTCTCAGTGCCTCGAACACAAAAATCCACCTTTTAGTACTTGCATTGTAAAATTGCTCAAGCCAAGATTTTTTTTTATTTATTTATATATTTTTTTTAAACCTCCAGGCTTAACATCTTCATTTGAAGTTGTTTCCCCAAGAAATAGCTGCTGGCCCACAGGTACCCTCATCTGTTGCTTCTTTGTTTCCAATCCCTGCACAACTCCATAGACGTTGCCCTGGCCCTGCTTCTTTACAGCAAATCACATGCCAAAGTGAGTCAGCAAAATCTGTTTAACCAATTTCTAGAGAAGCGATGCTTTTAAAAACAAGCAGCCAGAATGAGTATTTTCTTACTATCTCTTCTGTTTTTATTTTACCCTATTGGTTGCACACAGGATATGACATTAGAATCCATAGAAATCCAAAATTAAAAGCCTTACAAATCACTCTAACAAGCTGCCATTGTGTGCTTTACCAGTATAGCTTTTCTCTACAGTCTAGGTGTTTTCCCTAGCTGTAAGGAAGAGAAAATGGATGTCATTAAACTGTTTTCACTGACTGCATGACACAGTTCAACAGGTTTTTGCTTTCTTTTTTTTAATAATCTACGCTTAATTCACTATGATTTTCCCTTACTGCTGCATTATTCCTGTATGTCACCCTTTTCTAACTCCTGTGACAAACAGAATCACAATGACTTTATTTAAGATCAACACTTCCATTTGCAGCATTAAAAGGTGCAAAGTTAAAGCGGCTGCATCAGCGCTGCCTGGTGCCGGTGCTGGGGCAGCAGCTGTGCAGTGAGCAGCAGCCTGTGGGAAGAGGTCAGGGCACAGAGAGTCAGCAACACGGGCAGGAGTTACTGCCTCACTGCCTGCTCTGTGGCAGACAGGGGAGAAACTTGAATTGACAGACAGTAAAGCACACTCTGCAGAACTTCAGATCGACTGGGTTAGGTTTATTTTTTGTCTTTTTAAATGTTTACTTCAAATACAAGTGAAAATACATACAGTATTTAAATATTACTCCACCCTACATGCTGTACTACTGTACTCACTAAATGAAATGATTTCCACGCGTTACAGCCTGACCTGCTTTTTAACATTTGGATTAAGAGTTAGCTCACGTAGCTCCAGCTTTAATCTGTTTTAAAGCACAAGAGTTTTAAATAGTGTGTTGTGTTTATGTACAACTGGAATTGCCCATTGTTACAGCAGGCAGATTTTGGCAGTTGCCTTTGCTACTTTGACTTATCACAAGTTGTCTTATAGTCTCAGATGGTGTCAGACCTAGAGACTGTATCTTATGCCAGCTGGAGTGAGAACATTGCTTTAATGTATAGAAAGGCAATTTAAAAATGGGGTTTGGTAGCATTTTCTCTAGGCACTACAATGGCAGCTGTGCTAGAGGTCATGAATATTACATAAGGGCTGTCCATGCATTCAAGCCAGCATCAGCAAGCCAAATTCCCATAGCAACACTAGCATAGATTTACTCATCACTAGGAGATGCATCAGTTCAGCAATAAGTGCAGTGGTGCTACCCTGATTAATCTGCAAGATATTATTACTGCAACTCTTCATTTTAAAGATTGTGCATTTACAGATAAAATTCAACACTTCACCTGAATTTCAGAGCAGTCTTTATTATCTTTCCTAACAGAGGAGAAAATATTCAGTTAACAAAAAGCAACACTGATAAAATTGAAACTGCTGATTATGATCAGCACCAGCTCTAAGACAAGAAGGGAAAGGGAAAAAAACAGACTGCTTCTAGGGCACCTCTACTGTACTGATGCTACAGCAGCAGCACTCAACTTCAAAGAAATGTTCAGCATCTCCTGGGGTTGGCGAGTTCCAACAGCTCATCAAAAAGCTGCTTTAGGAGCTGTTATTAAATATAGGTCAACAATTATGTTTTGCAAAAAAAAAAAAAACAAAAACAAACAAACAAACAAAAAAAAACTAACCCCAAAAAACAGCTTCAGCTTTCCTGTTCAAGTTCCCTGGCCTGAAAAAAAACCTCTATTTATGCATTATATCACTGTACTGTTTATGAAGCTGGCGCTCAGTAAATGATCAAATGAATACCTCAGTGATGTGGACTGCTGAATTTATGAAGAACTCTCATAAAACAGGTGGTATAAACGGGCAGAGGCAAAGCTGGCAGTGGAAAAGGAAACAGAACAGGAGGTAGATCAGAGACCACAAAATAAAAACTGAGGCAAAATGGAGGTAGGGAGCCAGAGAGAAACACAGAGATCACAGGAAGAAAAAAGGTAGAGCTGAGGAGGAATCTACGCAGCATATTTCAGTATATAAGAAATGGTACTGAAGAACTGCTCTTAGAAAATAGTTGTACACCAAGATCTGGCAGAAGGAAAAAAAAAAAAAAAAAAAAAGACTGAAATGAAGTGACAAATGGAGGATAACAAACAAGACAAGCATGATTTTTACAGGCAATAGTATTGAAACATGCAGAACGGATGAAAGAAAAACAAGCAAATACTCTTTCACTGCATTATTGTTAAAAGCCTCACAGTCCTAAATAAACACAAAGGAAGAACTTGAAGCTCATGTGGTATTTCCATACTAATCTGTCACAATATGAAGTTATAAGCAAAGGTCTTAACAAGTCCTAGAGCATATTACTCACAGGATCAACTAACACTTGAAGGGTAAAGAAAGTCAGTGAAGTCTCCAGGAAAAAGAGATCCTTCCAAGAGATTTCATTACCATATCACTGGTAGGGACTGATCCTTCATTGAGGGGAAGTGAATAGGACATTTGAGGGCCAATTTCTAGAAGTTTTAAGTGCCACAGGGATCCACAGACGAACTTCTACAAGTCTCCTCAGTAAGAGCTCTAAGCTTTGACCACATGTACTGCAAATTAATACATACAAGAAAAAAGTATACACATTTTAAAAAGATTATGCTTTAATATACAAGCAAATCGAGTGCTTTTCATAGAAGATTCAGATTCTGATTTTTTCCCTATAGTTTCTACTGTTGTATGGAAAAAAAAGCCTTATAAGATGTCTGATGGTGCGTGCTCAAACATTAAAAACATTTGTACCAGTAACAGATAAGATGACAGACTTTTAAAGCAGAACGTTTTATGGGCCTCTGATGAGAAATAACACCTTACCTTTGCTTTTTCCAACTGTGCCTGGGCCTGTCGCTCTGCCTCTCTCCGCACTGCTTCCCTGTCTTCTTCCAGAGATACATCGGAGTCAGATGGACGGCTGGTGTAGGAGTCCGCCGAGCCCTGCACAAGGAAAAGAAAAATAGTATCACAAGTTGTTCTGGAATCCAAAAAAAAAAAAGCAGAAGGGTTATGCACCTTGTCTTTCCTCTTAAATCTGTATCCCTGAAAAGAGAATAACCATCAAAAAGGGAATGACGCTTAGTGAAATTCATCTAAATGGACTTTTTCTTCTGGAGAACTTCCAGAGTACAGGTGTCTTCCCTTGTGTTGCATTTCCTGCACTACCCCTGCGTGCTGATCTGTATGCATTTTAATAAACTGTGCCAGTCGCTCTGTAGAGTTACAGCAGTGGTGCAGTGCAGGGCTGAAGGACACACAGCAGCTTCAAGGATGGCTCCATAAAAAGAGAACTCTAAGCAGTGACATTATTAACAGGGAAACACATTTTTACAGTCAGAATACTCCTTCACTATTGATAATTACCATGACACAACACTCCTGATTGCAGATTTAATTTCTGCTATGCATTTTTATTTTAGGACAACCTCTTTACCTGACACACTTTCCCCATTAGAACTGCAAATGGCTCGCATCCATCTCCTACTCCTCAGCAAAACATGTAAATGACCACAAATCAACTTCTCGCTAATAAAATCTGTCTGGACTCAACGCAGGTCCACAAACTGCCACAATGGAAGCAGTCCCAATGCCAGAACAGCTCTATAAATAATGACAGCTCTGATTTCCCTCTGCATCTCCCTGCATACAAAACAGAGTTCTGCTAATTCAATTAGAATGAAAACAACTATCCTCTCCACACCGTGGTTTTTTTTTTTTTTTCTTCTTCCCTCTCTGCAACGCATAGAATATATGCCAATAATGAAAAGACAGGGCTTACACAGATATCAGAATTCTTCAGACGTCCTCCTTTGGCTCTTTTCAGAAGCCTGATCCAGGTGGCCTTCATTAGCCAGACAGCTCAGTTATTGTCCGCAGCTGCAGCGCCCGGCACTGATCTCACACAACATGTGCACGCTGAGCACCGCAGAATCACCGCTCCTTTCCTATCCATGCTCTGCTGCAAGAGCCTTTCTTTTCTTCCCTCTGCCTTTCAAGCTTGCAGCCTCACTGTTTCCAAGTATTCTAGTGCAATTAAATTCATAAATTTCCTCATTCCAGTTTAAAAAAAAAAAATCAGAAAAAAAAAGAAAATATCCACACCACCACCAAAAAAAGCTCAGCTTGAACAATAAAAAAATAAAACATGCCAGACTTCAGGTAAATGTTGTGAGAGATGCTTCAATTGATAACAACTGAGGTCGATCACAGAAAAATACCTAGGGTTTTTTCATTTGGGGGGGCGGATTTGGCTGTTAAAAATAGTGCTTGTAAGAGAACCTTTTAAAATCCTGTGCAAAATGCATTCAGTGACATTTGCAAGTGCAAAGTTCATTTCATCTCCTCCTAGATTGGCTGGGGGTGGGGTAATGGGCTGCTCAGAGCACTGGGCATGCTCCATCCGTGCAGCCTTTTACGCAGATGCTCGCATCACACCGTGCCAGTAGCCTATGCCAAATTGCCATTTTACATCTCAAGGGTAAACAGCTGGAAAACGTGAGGGAAAACTGGACAGGCTGGTACAGCATCTCACTGCTGCCGCACATGTCTGCTGCCAGCCCACACCATGCTATGCAGAGCCCTGGATTCACTAGTGTGCCTGTTGAGCAGGAATTAACCCCCTCGTCACTGCTCGTGTTCGTCTGACATAGGCAGATGACAAAAGCAAGGGTGCTGTAACTGCTTAGTGCATAAATATTTGATGCTAGCAGAGCAAAAGGAAACATTTCATTTCTGCATTTTGCTTTCCATCCTTTTGTAAGCTGACATGGGAATAACATACAAAGGCACGATTATCCAGGATATTTACAATTCGCTGACAATAAGCAAAATTGTGGAGAAAAAAAGATCCTTAGAGCTAGACTGAAGTGCTCGCCTTAAATATGAATCCACAGTTACAGGAAAAATAGAGAACAGAGATCAGAGCTGAGGGCAGTGGTGGTGCACCTGTAGCAGCATCTCAGCCTCTCCTGGGAAGTCAGAGCCCTTCATCTACCAAGGATCCAGTCCTGCTGTGGTTTGTATATTAACAAAATTACCCCATTGCAAGAGATACAGCAGCCTACATTTAACCACTATTGCAGCAAACAATAATTGGCACTAAACTAATAGTTTGAAATAAAGGTAGATTTAACTTTCACAATTTTCTTCCCCTGAAGTCCATTAAAAATAAGCTTAAAGTTTAATAACCTGTCTTTTACATCAAGCAGATTACTCACCATGGGATATTTTGCTTAGAGGAGTCCAAATACATCTACCATATTACAGTTTGAAAACTAAAATGCCTATTGAATTAAAGCAGAAGAAGCAAAACATACTCAGACTTTCTTTGAATTTTGTAAAATACATTTTCCACTAGGAAAATGCCAAGAGTCACTGTAATCTTGCAATAGCATTTCAAATGTATCTATTATTTAAAACTTCAGTTTATCAATGTATTGAAGCAGTGGAGCTGGTGGAAATCAGTAGCAAAAGCCAAGCACCAGCAAGTGACCAGCAGCTCAGTGTAGACGTCAAACACTGATACAACGGTAAAAATAGTGACAGTTAGTTGCTTTTATCAGACCTATATCAAAGCTCTGAGACTATATTTAAGTCCTGTAATGCCAGCCTTAGCCTCTGGGATGCTTCAGGATCTTCCCAGCACCTGTTGGCTGCAAGCTGGGCACCTCTGAACACTTTCAGCTCTGCAGCTCCACACACTGCTCTGGAGGAGCATGGTGTGGTGTTGCAAATCAGCCTCTAAGCAACGTTATCTCTAAATAAGGGGAAAACAACTGAATAAGCCATGAAGCCCAACACTGCCACCATGCAAATGACAGAATGAGTGTTAGCTTTCTGCAGCGGTCCTACAGCACATACATCACATCGTGCATCTCTGAAATGGTGTGGCTTCACCTTCAGTGTTGTTAATCATGTTGTTGGCAAGGGATATTGCCAAAGGTGCTCAACCTACGAGAAAGTCAAAAAGCACAGAAACATCATTCCTATGCCCACAAAAGGGACAAGATGTTAGCTCAGAACTACAGAAACTGGAATTTCATCTTCTAGCCACAGAGATGATTTGCAGTCGTGTTCCTGTCTTGTGTTGGCCACAATCCCAACACACATCCAGAAAATCATAATGATTCAATTTATTTTAATTATACTGACAAATCACATGAATTAAATTCAGCGTTACATTTATTTCCCCAGTGGGACAAACATGGTCATATCAGGAGTTTCTCCACTTCCTGAATATGGAAAAGGGAAAAAAAAGAAAACAAATTGAAAAATAAAAATAATAAAAAAAAACCCTGAAGTCTGACATCAGGAGAGAAGGGGAACACATAATAGATTTTGTAAGCAAGTATTTATTTTTTTAATGAGCTAGGAATATTTTCAACCGCTTTTGTATGAAAAAATATATATAAAAAAAACAACAACATAGATCATTGTAGTTTCATCACAGTTTTTATCTCAGTTGGAAATAATCTGATTACTCAAGGAATTCAGAGCCAAGTGGATGAGCATCATCCCTTCACTACAGGTAAGGAAACTAGATTACCTTCCTGGGTTACACTGAGCTTTAGAGCTTGCTCTGGAGACTAGCATGAATCTTCTCCCAAGTGCTTCTGAAATTTTGAGTTTCTGCAGGTCTTCTTCTCATTCCACTGCAATGTGGAAGAGCTGCAATAAGACTGAGGGCTGCTATGACCCCCAGTTCCTCATCTTTCACTAGAAACTGTCAAACAGAAGTGAGACAACTCATGGTAATAATTAACCTATCTATTCATTCTCCCCTTTTCATCCTTCCTTGGCATGTTTACAAAACACATTTGTCTTAAAAATCATTTCCTGTTTTAATGACGTGCTTGACAAATATTTACCAACTGTCTTACCACTTACTCTATGAGAATATATTCTATATGTTGGTGGGGGGTTGTTTGTTTATTTGGTTTGTTTGTTGTTTTTTTTTTTAAATTTGATTTAATCTGAATCCATATCTTTTACACTGTTAATACGACATCACTGAATCATAGATCATGTACTTATGTTTGAGGTTTTTTTCTTCTTCAAGACTATGTCTTATTTTGTGTCCTCCAAGCAAGAAACACTGCTTTGTAATTACGATTCTTGTTATTTTCCATTACTTGCAGTTAGGAATCCATTAGTTAACTTAGGTGGGGTCTCTAGAGATCTTATTTTTCTTGTTAGTTTTCTTTACCACCTGTAACTTTGGTCAGCACAGTGGGAACTTGAGTACAGACTTTGATTGAAGTACAGCCAAAATCTGTTGATATGTTTGGTCTGTGACTGTAATAAATTCTCTCTGGGTTAATAAAGCTATCATTACACTTGCATATTTAGTCAGGAGTTTATATTTATGCCTCATGAAAAATAATAGTGGTCCTCTGGGTACCCGGTGGTTCTCTTTAGGTTGGTAACCCATTTAAGTGCTAAATATCAAAAGGACAGGTAACTTCAAAACTCATGAAAATTCTCAAATAATTGTCTTAAGAGAACAATCAAACAAGTTTTTTCAAGTAGGAACTTTTAACATTATTACTTATTAAATGAAGACTTGAAGCAGTGTGCAAACGATCTTACAAGGAATCAGGTATGTGTGAGTATACACAGAGTCCTCATCCTTAATGCCAGGTTTTTCTCCTAGATGTATTTTTTATCCCCTCTCTTGTTTAAAGCTGAAGAGAATTTTAAATCCAAAAGGAGAAAAATCTTCATAGCTTCATACTTTGAATTGTTCCCCTCTGCAACACAGTGAGACTTGTACTTTCTGTACTGATTTAAGTATTCAGAATCTATATAGAGATTTTTATCTGCTTATCTTCTAATCTTGTGGAAATCATCAGAATGACATCATGTGTCCTGATGGTACATTTGATACAATATATACATACATACTATACAATATATATACTACGTCCATCTGACGTGTTACTACTTCTGAAGTGCAGAAAACAAGACAGTGAGAAAGAAATGTTGAAAGATTACTTCCGTAAATTCTGTAAAATTCTGTAAAATTTTCAATTAATTTAAAAATTTTAAAAGCAATGCAAACCAAAAGGAAAATGCAAAACAGTGTTTTAGTATGAAGTTAAAATGCTGCCATGGGCAAATTTCTGTAGTATGTTAACAGGGAGTATAGATTTACTGTTTAAGCAGGTACTAACCAACCTGCAATCTATGGGCCATGCAATTAGAACAGCACCCTCAATACAAGAAATGCCTCTGCTTGTCACAGTGGCCAGAGTTGGTGAAGGGAAAGATTTACTTAGACCTCTAAGAAATGTCACCATTTTGAAAGATGTTGAAGAAAGCACAAAATACAACTCTGAAAGTGCCATAAAACATCATGCAGATTGTAAAATTGACTTAAGGGCAGCCTTTTTAAGGAAATACAAAAGTAATTCTGATTGTTTTGTATGCACATTTGTTGTGTACAACAAACTAAAGAAACATAACTAAAGAAACATATTGAGAAAAAGGACAGAGATCACATATGCATCTTGCAGGAATCACTGACTCCTTGATGAAGGCCATGACAGCCAGGCTGGAACAAAGGTGAGTCCTTATTGCCCTTGGGCATTTGTCATGACCAGAACTTGGCTACTTGTCCACTGCACATCTATTTTCACTTAAATCCCAAATAAACTTGCACTCCCACAGACAGTATGTAAGGAACGTGAACAAATCCTACAATAGACACTGAAATATTTTGTTGCATTTATAAAACAAAACTGTGTTGATTGGAATTCTGTTTATTTTTTGTTTTAGAGCAATTTGGACATTGCTGCAGCACCTACATCCACAGAGGACCTTCATATAACAGGAGGAGAAAAATTTTGGAACAGCTGGGAACTTTAGGGCAGTAATGTGATTAAAAAGGAGATTATATAGGAAACCCCTCTTCTCTTTACTCCCACCATGACTTTTTCAAGCTTCACTGCAGCTCTCAGCAGGATATTAGCAGGTTTCCAAGATGCTAATCCAACCAACAGCTGGATGAAAGCAGTTTTTAAAAACAGCCCTTAGGTTTTCAGAAACCTTGGATTTCAGCATTCATTGACCAGGGGAACAGCTGCACCAGGTACTTTATCATGCAAAAAATAAACAAAGTCCCCCACAGAAGTCACACACTAAAAAAATCCCCACACATATTTGCACTAACATTTTCATAGTACCAGCCTAAACATTTGCTTTTCTGTTGTTGCTAAGACAAAGCAGTGTTAGATTGAATTGTTAGTGGAATGATGGGCTTGTTGAGGTCACTCTTAGGAAAACTTTTGGTGATATATGCAAACTGTTTCCAGGAGGGCAGCTACAGACTCCACAGCCACAGCCAAGCTTTCCCCAAATCCAT